TGTGAAGTCACTGAGACAAATGTAACATTTGTGATATTGGGCTATATAAATAAACATTGATTGATTGATTGAAGACAAGAGAAGGTGTACAGAAAGGGACAGACAAAGTGAGGAAAAGGACAGACAAAGTGAGGAAGCTGTAAAAAAAAGACTGAGAAAAGGCAATAGGCTCTGATTTGGCACCACCATAAGGCCTTTTCATTTCCATTTCCGTTGTATTCCACTTTAATACCTGCATATTTTGTAGTTGGTATGTATATTTAATTTTAAAATCTGCTGCTTATGTTATTTTTTGTGTTATAGCATTTTATAAATGATTTTGTTGGTGGTAATGTTCACTTTATTTTAATTTAAGAGGTCATGAATATTTAAGTTATATTTATTTGGATTTATGCATTCATGTTGAGAATGTTCCATTCATAAATGTTATTGTTAGGCATGTACACCATAAAAGATGACGATTGATATTTATTGTCAGGAATGTTAGTGTTATATCAAATAGTGAATTCTACTGCAGCAGAATGTTGCACGTCTGCACAGTGTCAGTAAATATTGTGCGGTTAGTATTGGACTACAAGATAGATGCAAGCCTGTACAGGTGGAGTTATTTAAAGCATACATGAGTGGGTTGGGTTCTGGAGGTGTGGTTAGCAATTGTGCTTGGTTGGCGTGGCCTGGGCCTGGTGATGGGGGGGCCCAATTTGATATCTTTTCACGGGGCCCAAAATCCCTGGCGGCACCCCTGCCCCCCCCCCTTGATAATACAAGATCGTCGGCACGCTGATAACAATTTTTTTTTATAATGGCACTTCATATCAAAAAGGTTGCCGACCCCTGGTCTAGTGCAACCACTGGTGAGGACAGACTGATACACTGGGTCAGAGGAAGGGCCTAGGACAATATTTATACAACAATACTGGTTAAAGCTGTTTTACTGACAGTAGTTGTACAGACATGAACTGTTAATTATCACCTGGTTTCTGTCTTCCAGCTGGTGTTTCCGAAGAGAAGAGGGTCGTCATGCTCGGTCTCCCTGGAGCCGACTTTGATTCAGTCAGTACAGAGACGACCTCTGCATCCGCCACAGTGGAGGACTGTGAGGTCACGGTGATCGATACTCCAGGGTTCACTGACAAACATCTGACTCCAGAGCAGTTGTACCTGCAGATCATGAGGTCTACTCTAGAGGGGAGTCCAGGAGTACATGCCTTCGTTATCGTGGTCAGAGTAGACAGAATCACTGAAGCAGACATAAAGCTGTTTGAGCTGCTTCCTAAACTCTTTGAAGGTGATGCTCTGAAGTACTCCATGGTGCTTTTCACTCATGGAGACAACCTCAAAGGACAGTCCATTGAGGGTTTGATGAAGAAGAACGATCATGTCTCTGAGCTGGTCTCCATGTGTGGAGGTAGATACTGTGTGTTTGACAACAACACCAAGAGCAGCAAAGAGCAGGTCAGAACCTTCCTGGATAAAGTAAATGAGATGGTCTCAGCTAACGGAGGACAGTACTACACAGACCAGATGTTCAGGATGTCTGAGACTTTTTTTAGAGAAGAACGGATTCAGTTCAAGAAAGGTGCTTCAGGTGGTGGTGAGGAGAAAAAAGAAAGCCTGTTGAAGGAAATTGAACCTTATGTGTCCTTTGGAGCAGTAGGAGGAGCAGCATTAGCATTATTAGCAGCATTAGCAGCATTAGCAGCAGCAGCACCAGCAACATTAACAACATTAGCAGGAGCAGGAGCAGCAGGAGCAGCATTAGCATTAGCAGCATTAGCAGCATTAGTAGGAGCAGGAGCAGGAGCAGCAGCAGCAGCAGCAGTAGTAGGAGTAGGAGCAAGAGTAGGAGCAAGAGTAGGAGCAAGAGCTTTCCGAAGAGCAGCAGTAGGAGAAGCAGCAGACAGCAGCAGCAGTAGAGGCAGCAGTAGAGGCAGCAGCAGCAGCAGTAATATTAAGAGGTTTCCCAAGAGGAGCAGTGGTAGAAGGATCTGGGGCATCAGGAGAAGTAAAGGAGAAGCAACAGGAGCAGAGATCGGAGCAGTTGGAGGGGAAAAATAAGTAGCAAGAGTAGTAGAAGAAGTAGCAGCAGCCACAATGTAAAGTAATGGAGACCTCCGGCCAGGCCTGGGTCTCCAGCACCTTCAGGTTAACCTCCATCCTGGTTTATAGACGTTAGAAACTCTGTTAGGATCAAGGGGAATGAACTGTTCTGACAGAGAGGGTTAGAGAAAAGAAAAGGGACTGTTTAGAGAATCACTTTCAGTAATCTTGTGTCTCCTAAAAGCTAGAAACAGTTTGAAGAATGTTTAGATTCTAAATCACTTTCCCCCAAAACTGCTTGGACTGAGAGCCTGACGCTGGAGAGCTGAGACGGCTGTGTGCAGTTCTGGGAGCAACCACACTGAGCCATTACCTGAAGGACGATCATATCCACTGCAGTAGCGTTGTCGTTGAATGCTGTAATTGTTTCCTGGACCATTTGGTGCCCAACGGCTAGCGAGCGAAAACAGAAGGATAAAGCTTTGAAGGGGGCAGTAGCTTTGAAGTGTTCTTGAAGGACTGGATCTCAGGTCACCTGACACTTGGAAACCACTCATTGTTGAAAATTCCCCGAAAACAATCAGAAAGGCTGCATCTGCTAAGACCTGGAGGAATCTGAAGACTAATAAATACAATTTCACTGACAGTAACAAGGCCCAGAACTGAAGACCTGAGGGACTCCCTTCATCTGAGACTTTGCTGTTACTTTGGGCTCCAACGTGGACCTGCCAGTTATTCTCACTTCACTGCATTCCACCGCTGATCATTTTAAATAATATTAACATTGTTGGAGCCATTTATGTTAACTGTTGGCATTGGGGGTGGGGGAAACAATCGATACAGCCTAGTCACTGTAGATTGTAGCATATCGCTCTGAAAGACGGTCGCAAACTTCACTGATAATTTCTAATTTATTGAAAACTCCAAAGACCAACGTAAGAGCTACACAAAGACTCAAAACAACAAATACATTTAAGTTTCATTCATGAGCATTACTTTAGAATACCATTCAAAAAGTGAACTTCAAATAGTTAGCAAAGTTATAATAATGTATATAAACGAATTAAGACACAAAGCACATGTTTACATTACAGTTTACTAACCTTGAGCCTCTTGCTAAGACTTAAATGTAAACTTTATCTTTAGATGTCGCCGTATTTAAATGTTGATATCTCCGTTAATATATGTACTTTATCTCCGTAAAGTCTTAGCGTTGTGAACAGCAACTTCCTGCTAATAGCGCCAAGTCGCCTTCAACATAAAAGCATGTCTATATAAAACAGGAAGTTGCGTGAAGACATGTAGACGATTGCAATGAAAGTAACAAAAACAACTCCTTTTCAGGTTCAAAGAACACACATTGGGTTATTTACATAAACTATTCATATTGCAAACACATGTTTTAACCAGGAAGGGAAGACGGACATGGACATGGCCCATGTGATTTGCAACATCGCAATATATCGTATCACAATACTTAGCATATCGTAGAATCGCAATACTATCGTATCGTGGCTTAAATATCGCAATATTATCGTATCGTGTGGAGCCTGGTGATTCACACCCCTAGTTGGCATGTTATATTATGCTCTTTAGATTTATTACGTTAAACTATTTGAACACTAGGTGGCAGTGATTAGCCGGATAAAGGTGTATGAAATTACATTACATTGCATTTAGCTGACGCTTTTATACAAAGCAACTTACAATAAGTGCGTTCGACTAACAAAATACAAACTTGAAGAAAACAGAATCATATAAGTGGGGAGAGCAGTATGATGCGTTCCTCTGGGGTCTGTGAAGAACACGGTGCTTTGGTAAATCACTTTGGGGATCAAAGGCTCCTTAGATCTTCATAGCTTCTCATACTTTGCTCCTGTGGGTATTGTCCACTGTATTCACGGTCACATGTCCAATATGTGTAATGTAAAGCGCTTTGAGCACTTGGGAAATCGATCGAATAAAAATTTAATGAATTATTATTATTACTATTATACAATCATCTAACATTACGTAATATCTCCTTTTATCTCGATCACATGCTCTCTTTTTGAGATGAACAATAACATGTTATTGTTTTTTAAATGTTTTCACCAGTTTCTTTGTTCCCTGAAATCAAACATTGGTTTCAAATTCTTCGAGTTAAACAAAAGTACATGTGCTATGAATAAATAAAGTGCTAAGTTTGAGTCAAAGTATACCATTTTATTTGACAGAGAACAATTGTTCATTCAGAAAACTCATTAACGGTTTGTTAACCGCAGCATATAGTCTGGCGTCTAGGCTCCGGCCTCATTAGTATCATTAAATATGAAGCATGTGTACTGTACACTTCACATACTCCAGATCCTTCAGTTATGTATTTGAAGTGGACAGGGCCATATTTCAACATTGCAATGGGCCAGGAAGCTGATCCTTGAACTGTGTCATGCTTCCAGCCCCTGGATCGAGTTTGTTGATTTTGGAGATGATTTGAGAACCTTTGATTTGTTGGACCTTTTCCAACTCATCTCTGAATACTTGACTTTTCCTGAAAAACAGGTCAAAAATAAAGTTACTCTGATTTGCATGAAAGTTGGTGTAGTGTTAAAAGTGGCCTCACAGATGACTAATTCAAAGTGACGTGCATCTTTGAAATATGACCTTACATTTAAAATACCACAGCTCGTGTAGTGATGTATTTGA